TGGATAATCATAAAAATATTTTATACGTTAATTTGAATTAATAAAATGAAGTATCAAATAATTTTAAATTTTTTTAAACTTTACAGACTTAATTTATATATGTATTAAATTTTTTTAATTCAATGATGAAATCGTTAAAATTTGATATAAAATATGAATTATTGAGTGAAGTAAATTTAAAAATACTTATTCTTAAAGTAAGTAAATTCCTATCTATCTATCTATCCATCTATCTATATATCTATCTTCTTTTACTTCCATACTTTTCTAATGTAATCTTCACCTCTAAAGTCCCTATAAACATCCATCTATCGCAACATTTTACCAGCTCAACCAACCAATACACGGAGTCGCCGATGGAGTATAGTTTCACACATACATACAAGTAGTACTTTACCAAAAGGAAAGTTAATTGAAAAAAATTTCTTGTTATGAGAAGGAAAGAGGTAGTTTTAGTGTTGGTTCTTAAAATATCGTTACCCAAGTATTTAATTAAGAATTTCAGCTAGCTTATCACATTCGGACATATATACTTTCTAAGAAACCTTTATGCAGATAATCGTGTCACGTCCAAATCCCATGAGTAGACCCCTAGATATCCATCCTCTACCAACTTATTATTATTATTTTTATTTTTTGAATTTTTAATTATTCCACTACATTTTAACAATCTATATATAGACTGATTTACAAGATTTGAAATTTAAAAACTAGCATATTTAAGTTTGCTAACCTATATATACATAAAAATAGGAAACTACAAGATTCAAAAGCTAACAACTTTGTTTTTACAATTTTAAAATTTAAAAACTAGTATATCTAAAATCTGCTTACCTATATACTTAAAATAGGAAACTACCAAATTCAAATGCTAAATTTTTTTTTTTTAAAATTCAAAACATAAAAACTAGCATATCTAAAATCTACTAATTAACCTATACATAAAATTGGAAAATTATTATTACAAAACTCAAATGCTAACGACTTTGTTATCTGAATCATTAACACAACAAACAATAAAATTTTAAATTTGCAACCAACGGTAAAACATATAGTGGTTTATTAAATTTCAGTTAATAGTTGAGAGAAAATGTTAAAAGGAAAGTATAATAAAGAGAATGTTACCCGTACATCTTTGACAGTCAATTTTTTAAATTCATTTAACAATATTGAACTCAAATTAAGTCTCGCCTGAATTTAATTAAACCAGTGGCTTAAAAAGGACGTACTTATAGACACAAATTTTTCTCAGAATAAAATAAGCCAAGGAAAATAGTCAAAACCACTGGGCGCAGAAACCAGGAACCTTTGTCATATAAAAGTTAAACAACGTTATATAATATCAAATGCTGTTAATAACCAAGTTGCATGCGTCGTGGCATATTAAAAGATATCCAAGTGCTGACTTCATCTACATTTGTGACACCATTATTTAAATCAAAACCAAAGTCCAAAACCTCCATATCCTTAGGCTCAATATCAAATTTATAAACTTTTGAAAAAATTGAAAAACATACACTCCCTCTCACTCTCAAATAAAAGTGAATATGATTAAGTTTAATTATTTTACAGATATATTTTTCAATCAGTGACATGATTATTTCTATAATATAGTATTATGGTTTATTGTACTAGTTGATATTGAGCCTCTTGGATTACCTTAAGATCTTCTATAAATATTTAGTCCAAGAGTTTTTTTTTTTGGTTGAAATATTTGATCTTTGACGTGTAAATAAAGTGTAAAAAATTTCGTATCGACTAATTATATAAAAAAAAATGAACATATAACTAGAGATAATGGTGGTTACTAAGTTATTCTATAGGATTCAGTCACGCCTTAATCCACGTTTGCATGAATTATGAAACCTGCAATGCAGTTGCCCTGGCTGAGATGATACTCTGTGATATAGAACAGCGTCCACTCAAGTTTCTGTCATAAATGATGAAGATGGACCATGGGTAGGTGATCTTCTCTCCAATTCATTTAGTTCAGTCCCATTCATAGGCACAACCTATTAATCATGTTCTAGTATCTTATTCTTTTCGATACTGAAGAAACTGTTACGGGCCATGTCTGCAGTAAATTGCGTAAATTCCTGGAAGCTGCATGTGAAGAAAGCTCGCAGTACAAGAAAGTTAGTAAATTACTACATTACAAGAGGAAGGGGTGTCCCTTAACGTGTCATGTGTGCCCCATGTTAGCACCCTATTAAGGGCTATTTTCTAGTGCCACCTCAAAGTTTGACTTAGGCCACAACATCTGCTGCAGCCGTAAATTTAGCATGTTTTGTGGCTGTGTCGTGCCTGATCAAGCAATTCATTTAGAGTAGGCAAGTGTAAAAGTCTATGCTCTATATATGTATATAACTTTAAGAAGGATCTCATAATGGAGTAATTAAGAGTTTAAGTTTGTTAATTTTCTTGCACTAGCTAGGCACATGCCTTACGCATAATTTGATGGAATAATGCTGGTTATTTTTTTAATATGTTAACCAATATGTTTTAATTATTTAAAAGAGAGGGTGTTCACAACACTCTTTTAAATTTTGGTACATCTCATTTATTATTTAATAATAAGTCTTTTTCCTTATTTAGAAATGAGTGTAAATTAAAACGAGATGAGAGAAAATAATTTGTGAATTGCTTGTCTATATTTCGTTCTTTTAATTTCTATCTATATATAGACTGATTTACAAGATTTGAAATTTAAAAACTAGCATATTTAAGTTTGCTAACCTATATATACATAAAAATAGGAAACTACAAGATTCAAAAGCTAACAACTTTGTTTTTACAATTTTAAAATTTAAAAACTAGTATATCTAAAATCTGCTTACCTATATACTTAAAATAGGAAACTACCAAATTCAAAGGCTCAATATCAAATTTATAAACTTTTGAAAAAATTGAAAAACATACACTCCCTCTCACTCTCAAATAAAAGTGAATATGATTAAGTTTAATTATTTTACAGATATATTTTTCAATCAGTGACATGATTATTTCTATAATATAGTATTATGGTTTATTGTACTAGTTGATATTGAGCCTCTTGGATTACCTTAAGATCTTCTATAAATATTTAGTCCAAGAGTTTTTTTTTTTGGTTGAAATATTTGATCTTTGACGTGTAAATAAAGTGTAAAAAATTTCGTATCGACTAATTATATAAAAAAAAATGAACATATAACTAGAGATAATGGTGGTTACTAAGTTATTCTATAGGATTCAGTCACGCCTTAATCCACGTTTGCATGAATTATGAAACCTGCAATGCAGTTGCCCTGGCTGAGATGATACTCTGTGATATAGAACAGCGTCCACTCAAGTTTCTGTCATAAATGATGAAGATGGACCATGGGTAGGTGATCTTCTCTCCAATTCATTTAGTTCAGTCCCATTCATAGGCACAACCTATTAATCATGTTCTAGTATCTTATTCTTTTCGATACTGAAGAAACTGTTACGGGCCATGTCTGCAGTAAATTGCGTAAATTCCTGGAAGCTGCATGTGAAGAAAGCTCGCAGTACAAGAAAGTTAGTAAATTACTACATTACAAGAGGAAGGGGTGTCCCTTAACGTGTCATGTGTGCCCCATGTTAGCACCCTATTAAGGGCTATTTTCTAGTGCCACCTCAAAGTTTGACTTAGGCCACAACATCTGCTGCAGCCGTAAATTTAGCATGTTTTGTGGCTGTGTCGTGCCTGATCAAGCAATTCATTTAGAGTAGGCAAGTGTAAAAGTCTATGCTCTATATATGTATATAACTTTAAGAAGGATCTCATAATGGAGTAATTAAGAGTTTAAGTTTGTTAATTTTCTTGCACTAGCTAGGCACATGCCTTACGCATAATTTGATGGAATAATGCTGGTTATTTTTTTAATATGTTAACCAATATGTTTTAATTATTTAAAAGAGAGGGTGTTCACAACACTCTTTTAAATTTTGGTACATCTCATTTATTATTTAATAATAAGTCTTTTTCCTTATTTAGAAATGAGTGTAAATTAAAACGAGATGAGAGAAAATAATTTGTGAATTGCTTGTCTATATTTCGTTCTTTTAATTTCTATCTATATATAGACTGATTTACAAGATTTGAAATTTAAAAACTAGCATATTTAAGTTTGCTAACCTATATATACATAAAAATAGGAAACTACAAGATTCAAAAGCTAACAACTTTGTTTTTACAATTTTAAAATTTAAAAACTAGCATATTTAAGTTTGCTAACCTATATATACATAAAAATAGGAAACTACAAGATTCAAAAGCTAACAACTTTGTTTTTACAATTTTAAAATTTAAAAACTAGCATATTTAAGTTTGCTAACCTATATATACATAAAAATAGGAAACTACAAGATTCAAAAGCTAACAACTTTGTTTTTACAATTTTAAAATTTAAAAACTAGTATATCTAAAATCTGCTTACCTATATACTTAAAATAGGAAACTACCAAATTCAAATGCTAAATTTTTTTTTTTTAAAATTCAAAACATAAAAACTAGCATATCTAAAATCTACTAATTAACCTATACATAAAATTGGAAAATTATTATTACAAAACTCAAATGCTAACGACTTTGTTATCTGAATCATTAACACAACAAACAATAAAATTTTAAATTTGCAACCAACGGTAAAACATATAGTGGTTTATTAAATTTCAGTTAATAGTTGAGAGAAAATGTTAAAAGGAAAGTATAATAAAGAGAATGTTACCCGTACATCTTTGACAGTCAATTTTTTAAATTCATTTAACAATATTGAACTCAAATTAAGTCTCGCCTGAATTTAATTAAACCAGTGGCTTAAAAAGGACGTACTTATAGACACAAATTTTTCTCAGAATAAAATAAGCCAAGGAAAATAGTCAAAACCACTGGGCGCAGAAACCAGGAACCTTTGTCATATAAAAGTTAAACAACGTTATATAATATCAAATGCTGTTAATAACCAAGTTGCATGCGTCGTGGCATATTAAAAGATATCCAAGTGCTGACTTCATCTACATTTGTGACACCATTATTTAAATCAAAACCAAAGTCCAAAACCTCCATATCCTTATTTTTTTCCCATTCAGATCCAGTGAAAAAACCAAACACACAAACACACACACACACACAATTCTCATCAAAGATGTTCAGTTCCAAATCTGAGCTTTCCCAAAAGACAGTGCTCCAAATCAAGCAAGATGACAAATTCTTCTGCAGGCTTCTCTCAAAGGAAAGTTCCATGTCCAACCCTTCTTTCAGAGTGGCTGTGGCTGTGCCCTTTGTGTGGGAATCTCAACCTGGCACCCCAAAATACACTTTCTCTCATGACACTCTCCCTCCTCTCACTCCTCCACCCTCCTATTATGCCACTCGTGCAACAAAAAACAAGCCTGTGAAGAAACACTCAAGGTTCAATCTCTTGTTATCACTCTTCCCTAAACTGAATCTCAAGAAGACCATGAATCTCTCACCCTCTTCCTCTTCCTCTCTCTCTTCTCCTTCACCCTCTCTATGGTCTTCCTCGGATAATTCTTCCAAGGTTGTCCCTGAGGGGAGGGTTGGAAGGAAGCGTTTCCTAAGCTTTGGTTCATCTTTTGATCTTTGGGGAGAGGATGAAGAAGAGGGTGGTGCCACTTCTCCAACTTCAACACTTTGCTTTGGCATTTCTCGTTCCACAAGCACTCTTGCGGGTACTGGCTTCCGAGGCTCAAGCAGGAGGTGATCGATTTTATTGTTGTAATTAGAGCCTTTGTCGCATGCAGTAGCTTTTGATCTTGTGTGGCCAAGGTGCATGCTCTGAATCTGTTTAAATACAAGTTTAGAAGAGTTTTCGAAAACTTATTTATTGAAAATAAAGAGTTTTTTTTGAAAACCTTTTAAAATTTATATCCAAACAGATTCATATGTGTAAATGTCTTTTTTGTTATGCTCTTCATGCTTAAAGGGCAATCAATTTTCTAGGATGGAGCTGATCTTAAGCTTGTATCTCTCAAATAAAAGGTGTGTTTCTGAGGTGTATTATGTGGAACATATTATATGCAGTTATGAAAGTTATTAGAAACATTATATATTAATCGGTCCTCTTTGCCTTTAGAATGTGGCAAAACATTCATGGACTAATTAAGTAAGAACTGTTGTATTCTATGGCTTATTGTTATTTTTATTTTTGTTGTCGTGTTGTTCTGATAGTAAATAAATAATCAAAGAGATAACAAAGGAGGTTAATTATAAGAACACATTTAGTTGTACAGATCACTACTTTGTTATATGATGAGTTTAGTTAAAGGCAACAATAATCTTATCTCATATATGCATGAGTATCTAACAGAAAATTAGATGATTTTCCTACAGCTGCACGAGCTTTTAAGTATTTTCTGAATCTTCTTCACAAGGGTACAGGGGTCAGAATAGAAGAAACATCAATCTTTGACAAAGTAGTTTGTTGTATTTTTATTTTCCCAAATAAGGCCAATGTCAGTATTCGATACTGTCTTTCTCTTTTCTTTTGTCTTTCTCGACATGATTATTCATTACAAAAAGAAAATTCAGTTAAACGTTACTATCATGCTATTAATTATGCCCGAATGGCTGACAAATTTTCTACTCCATTTGAAAATATATGGTAGTTCATTTCCATTTCAAGTGACTTTGTGTTGGTGTCGTGTTGGTAAAGAACGCTTGTGTAATTAGGCGTTACCTTTTGCTTCAACATTTCTCGTGTGTCACGGATTTCAGTACAAAATATCCTTTGTCACATAGGATCATATATATCTTTGGTTGATCTCGGAAATAAAATAGGCGGAGAATACTTGCATTATATGAATTTTCGATCTTAATGAAGATTAGTCACTTTATTTTACGATAAATATTTTGTACCAATACTATTTATTTCTTTTATTTATATATACACATATCTCTTCGGTTTCTGGCTTTCTGCAATAAATAACTAGAGGGTGAACTTTCTTTAAGGAAATGTGTTTGATCCTGTTTTGTCAGATAAGCAAACACTAACTACTTTTGGTGTTTAGTACTTACTTTCTTTAGAGAATTTAACTGGGGAAGGGTTAATAGCTTATGTTGTCAAGTTACCAGAAAATAAAGGTCGTAAAGGGAAGGTCTTAACCACCCTCTACATTAATATACATATGTTAAATTATGTATCCACTTCTAACAATATCACGTTTTCTAAAATTATTTTTTTATCAAAATTTTGAATTGTGTTGATCGATTTAGTCAGAATTCTTGGGTATTCGTGGTTACCGCTGAATGTGGATCCCTATGTCAATTAACTCATAGTTTTGCTTTATTTTTATCGTGACATTGAATGTGAAGGCCTGATCTCGAAGCAAACACACTTAATATTGTGGAAAAAAATATTCTATGAGCAAATCGATTGATGCAGCTGCAATTGCAATTGTGACATGATTGTGGGGACCTAAAATTTTAACTTTTACTTGATCCCAATTGAGGTTGCAAACTACTTTTTAAAACTTGTTTTTTATTTAAATTATATCTTTTTTACCCTTAAAAGTTAAAAAAGAATGACATAATTTCTTAACAAAAGTATATTTAAGTCTACATTGTAGAATGGATCAAATAGATATGATGCAGAAGAATCCAGAGAGAGTCTTGTTGCCAGCATGAAAAGATTTAGGGATACCCCAACAACCAAACACTTGTTTGATCTTTTGATTAATCTAATTTGTCGGCAGAGGAACTTGTCCCATGTGAGTATGGACCACTCTTGGTATAGTATATGCTCACTATGTCAGAAGCACAAATAACTAACCGTGACACAGTTAATCAACTAATAATTCTAAAATGAAGATGATATAATGTAAAATCAAGGACTGAAGAGAAGCTATCAACTGAAATGCTAGCTGCATATGAATTATTGCTCCACTGCTTTAAATTCAGCTCCATTAATTATATGTGGCTATCATTCATATATACATTATTTTCTGTTATTGTTTAAACAGACTCAAGACACATTTTTACTTTCAAGAGTAGGTGGATGTATTTAATTATTTGGAGAAAGAGCTTGGTTCGTCCTAAACAAGAAAGGAAGTTTCTCAGATTTGATACCCCACTCTATTAGAGATATATCGTTTTAGGTTCCGGCATAAGTTGCTGTCAAATCCTTTGTTATTCTTTCTTAGGATAGAAGCCAAAAAATTATAAAACAAAAAAAGAAAACAAAAAACATACTTGAATGACCAACATCTCCCAATTATTTTTTTCATTGTCAGTATAGTCAGAGTTTGTTTGAAAGCTCTAAAAAAAATTCTTCTAGATTTGTAATCAAAGATGTTATATTTATATTTCTTATTTATTTTTCAAAAGATATATTATATGTATTAAGGGTAAATTTGTCTTTATAAGAAAATTTATTTTCCTTCTCTATACTTTTCTATTTAACTAAACTAATTGAGAAAACTCATTTTTTTTTAATTCAAACACCTTGAAATACCTATTGTATAATTCTTTCTTTCATATTTTTCTCTTTATTCAAATAAAGTATATATGAATTTGGTTAACCATTTAACCAACAAAAGAATTTCTTTCGTAAAAGAATAAAGTGACTATGAAAATTGAAAATCCTAATGTTATTCTTTTTTTACAAACTCGAAATCTTAATGTTAGATATTTGATATTTGGTTATATAAAGTATTTGGATATTTATTGTGGATTAAAGTGAAAGATATATTAATTAAGTGTTTGATATTTTATTGGATTTTAGATGATGAATTTTATTTTACAGATTTTTCCATCACTAAATGATTGAAAAAATTCCATAGTTTAGATGATATATTTTTATTTTTTGATTTTTTTTTCTATTTTGGCTTTTTGTAATAAATCTTTTAAATAATTTTATTTAGATATGTGAACTAACCTATCCACCCGCAGGCCTCTGCGGAGTGAACGTGGATCACTCATTTCATTGGGCTTTTTTTTTTCACGCAGGTTACCCAGTTTTACCCACATTTTTTTTGTCGATCAAAGCATATTGGGCTAACTTGCATTCCCTTCTCTTATCTTTATTTCATTACAACTAAATTATAATAAAAAGTATTATAAGTTCACATTAAACGTAGACAATGCATTATATGTTAGTAATTTCATACATTAATAGAATATGTTACTTTTTTATAATAATATTTTTTCTTGTAAATATAATAAGAATTATATATGTTTTTAATTAGTTATTGAATTTTTCCTTTATTAACATTTTAGTTTTTTTCCGTTAAATTTTTTTGTTCATGATTATTTTTAGCAATTAAAATCAAAAAAATTTTGTTCAAAACTTAAATTATTAATTGACTAAAGTTCATAGAAAAAAATATTTAATCCATATAATACTGTATCATACATTTTCTGTAGACATACTATATTTATACTATTACTTTAATTTCTATTAGATAAAGGTGGATTAATAGAAACAAACTCAATGTTTATTAAATTAGTATATATATTTTTTAACATGAGTTTAATATGTTATTTTAGGTTTAATTCACATTTCAGGTCCTGTTTATAAGTAATATAAGATAGATCATCAAAGTAAAATAAAAAAAATAATTAATGTGATTATTTTAAATTAATTCTATCATAAATTTAAATTTTATTTTAAAAATAATCTTTATTTTGAGTGTTTTTCATATTCAACTTTAAAAACTAATTATTATTATTTATAATTAAGAAAAAAATATAATCTAAACTGAAGATAATATAACGTAATTGGAACCAATCATGTGCGGAACTACGTATCATCTCAGAGGACAGTTGCCCCTCTATTCTTTAACATCTACATGTAACAAAAAAATTTGCCCCCTTCCTCTGTGAAATATTTATATCTATCGCTTCATTTCATACAATTAAATATGCATCAGATTTGGAATATTTAAAATATATTAAAATTTTGGCATTGTTTAGATTATTATTACCATGGAATACGATTTTCCTTTTCTGAAATATACTAATGAACAAGTGATATACCATTATCAATTATGCAAGCAATACAATAAAAAAAAAAATTAACAGGTAAGCAGCGCTATATTTTCTGAAAATATTCTATTAATACTTTTTTCCCCAATTTATAAAGAACCAATTTGTATGTAAAAGAAAAAAAATTAAAAAATATAAATTAAACTAAAATTTAAATATGTTTTTAATCTCAATTGTATCGACTAGTAAAAGGGATAGAAGTGTTAAATAAATGAATTCCGAAAGTCACTCCATGCGTTTTGCTAGCTTAATTTTTTTTGAGTAAATACCAATTTTAGTCCTTGAATTTGTAATATGCTATCATATTAACCTTTAAAAATAAGAAATTATTAACAGAAAAAAAGTCTTTATAATATTAAAAAAATTCTTAAATTTATCTATTACTTTTAATTTGATCCTTAAAAAAAATAAAATAATATATATATATATATATATTTATATATTATCACTTTAATCATACATTCATTTGAGTTTTGAATTAATATGATTGTCTATTTACAGTTTTAGAGACATACCTGACAATTTCTAAATTTTAGAAACTAATAAAACCCATTTTTCAAATTCAGAGACCAATTTAAATATTTATTCCTTGATTTTTGGTATCCAATATTTAATTTCTACTACTTTAAGTAATTGTTAATTTTAGAAATTTGTTATTGTTAAAACCATGTAATAAATTTTTGCCCAGTCACATTTTATTTCCAATTCCGTCCCAGCTGGAATCAATATTGGTGATAATTAAGTAATCCTGGTCAGATTTTTCTCTAGATTCGAGGAACAATTAATTTTGCTGTGATTAGAGTTTGCTCAATTTGTTTAAGGCTGATGATTTCAATTTTGTGGGGGCTTTACCTTTTTGACGTTACTAGCTCGTTGTGTTGTGGATCCCTGTATTAGACCTTCTACGTTGATCTTTGTTCGATTTACGTAATAAATCTTTTATTAAAGTTCTAAAATTAATTCCATTTGCTTATTGAAAGGAAAAAAAAATCACAAATCAACACGATCCTGTTGCTCATACCAGAATATCATAAAATTGACTAGATATGAAAAACCTAAAGCTAAATATGATAGAATTCTTTTCAAGCATCCTCACAAAAAACTTAAAATTCAAACGTTAGATTACATCAACTTAAGTTGGGTGCAAATTAAAATAGACAA